TCTAACCAAGCACCAGGAAGGAATATTGTGCCACGCGCCCAATTGACGCGGGTGTGTCAAGTCAGAGAGACACTTACTAATCATCAAAAACGAAAATTAAAGCCAAAAAACAGTCAAATTCAAGGAAAACATATTTAAACTATCAAACAAAATCGAACAAACAACTAAAAGAAATTGGGTTGCCTCCCAATGAACGCCTTTCTTTAATGTCTTTGGCTAGACATGGCAAGGTGTCATTAATTGGGATACGGCGGTGCATCTAGACTTATTGTTTCCACCTCTCCACTTGAAAAGTTTTCGTAATAATATTTGAGACGGTGTCCATTCACTACAAACTTATTGTCTATCTTAACACTCTGAATTCCAACTGCACCATAGTTAAAGACGTGAGTAACAATAAAAGGTCCAATCCAAAAAAACGTAGCTTACCTGGGAAGAGCTTAAGCCTGGATTGGTACAGGAGAACCTTCTGACTAACTTCAAAGGTTTTCTTAGAGATTTGTTGGTCATGAAATGCCCGACTTCTCTCCTTGTAAATTAGTGCATTCTCGTAGGTTTCGTTCCGGATCTCCTTCAATTCTTGCAAATCTAGCTTCCGATGGACACCGGCCTTCTCTAAATTCATGTTACACTGTTTTATCGTCCAAAAAGTCTTGTGCTCGAACTCCACTGGAAGGTGACACGACTTTCCAAATACCAATTTATAGGGTGACATCCCTATGGGGGTCTTGTACACAGTCCGATATGCCCATAGTGCATCTTCCAACCTTTGACTCCAATCCTTCCTATTGGGTCGCACCATTTTTTCCAAGATGGACTTAATTTTCCAATTCGATACCTCTGCTTGACCATTGGTCTGAGGGTGGTACGACGTTGAAACCTTATGGAGTACACCATACTTGCGAAACAGCACAGTTATGGTTTTGTTGTAGAAGTGCGTCCCCGTATTACTAACAATGGCTCTCGGCATCCCAAAACGCACAAAAATATTAAATTTGATGAAATCTGCAACTACTTTCGAATCATTAGTCCAGGTGGCCTTAGCCTTCACCCATTTGGAAAAATAATCGACTGCCAACAATATATATATATATATAACCAAATGATGTAGGAAAAGATCCCATAAAATCTATATCCCAAATAGCAAAAAATTCTACAAAAATCAATGGGACTTGGGGCATATGATCTCTGCGGGCTATATTACCTACTCTTTGACATCGATCACAAGATTTACAAAACAAATATGCGTCTTTAAAAATTGAAAACCAATAAAACCCACTTTCTAATAGCTTATGAGCAATTTTCTTGGCTCCAAAATGACCTCCACAAGCAAAAGTATGACAATAAGTTAAAATTGACTGAAATTTAACTTCACTTACGCATTGTCTCATTACTTGGTCAGCACATCTCTTCCACAAGTACGGGTCATCTCAAATGAAGTATTTGACATCACTCTTCAATTTGTCTCTCTTCGATTATGGCCAACCTGCAGGAAAATTACTAGTTACGAGATAATTTACTAGATCTACATACTAAAGCAATTGAGAATTCAGAGAGAACAAGTGTTCTTCAGGAAATGCATCCCTCAATGGTTCATTCTCCTCCACCACTGGAATGCGGCTCAAGTGGTCGGCTACCAGATTTTCTGAGCCTTGTTTATCCCTTATCTCTAGGTCAAATTCTTGCAAGAGTAATATCCACCTGATGAGTCTCGGTTTCGCATCTTTCTTAGTCATTAGATACCTTAACCCTGTATGATCAGAAAATACAATAATTTTAGCACCTAACAGATATGACCTAAACTTTTATAGGGTAAAAATAACTGCAAGAATCTCCTTCTCAGTAGTGGAATAATTCAGTTGAGTCCCATTCAAAACTCGGGACGCATAGTAGATAACGTAAGCTGCTTTTCCCACTCTTTACCCCAACATAGCCCCCACCGCATGGTCACTGGCGTCGCATACGATTTCAAAGGATAAACTCCAGTCAGGGGGTTGGATGATCAGTGGTGAGGTCAACAGCTCCCTCAACTTATCGAAGGCTTTCTCACACTTGTCATCGAATTCGAAGGCCGCATCTTTTTGTAAAAACTAGAATAACGGGGCTCCAATTTTTAAAAAATCCTTGATGAACCGTCGATAAAAACCTGCATGTCCAAGAAAAGAGCGTACCTCCCGCACACTCGCGGGGTAAGGTAAAGCAGATATAATGTCGATTTTGGCCATATCAATTTCAATACCCTTAGAAGACACAACATGATTTAGGACTATCCTACGTTCAATCATAAAATGATATTTTTCCCAATTAAGCACGAGATTAGCCTCTATACATCTCAACAAGATCAATTTCAGGTTATCTATACAAGTATCAAAACTATCACCATACATACTGAAATCATCCATGAAAACTTCAATAATTTTCTCTACATATTTTGAAAAGATGCTTATTATACATCTCTGGAATATTGCAGGCACATTGCACAACCCGAATGGCGTCCGTCTATATGCGAAGATCCCGAACGGGCATGTGAAGGTCGTCTTCTTTTGGTCCTCTGTTGCGATTGTTATCTAAAAATACCCTGAAAATTCATCCAAAAAATAATAAAAATCCCAACAACTTAAACGCTCGATCATTTGGTCAATGAAAGGAAGAGGAAAATTGTCCTTTTTGTGATGGCGGTCAGTCTACGGCAGTCTATGCACTGCCTCCAATCAGTGGGTTTGCGCACTGGCACTAGCTCACCCGTTTGGTTGGCCTTCACTATCACTCCTGCCTTCTTTGGAACTACCTGGACTGCACTCATCCATGGGTTATCTGATATCGCGAATATGATCCCCACATCCAACAAGTTTAATATCTTTCTTCACCACTTCCATTATGAGGAGGGATTGAGCCTCCTTTGAACTTGCCGTACAGGTTTGGCATCCGCCTCTAGCCTTATTCGGTGCATACAGATGGACGGGCTGATACCCTTAATGTCAGTGATGGCCCATCCTATTGCTTCCTTAAATTCTCTAAGGACTCGGATTAACTTTTCCTCATGGGTTTTCAAGAGTGTAGCTGAGATAATCACCGGAAGTGTTTCGTTGTCGCCCAGATACGCATATTTCAAGTGCTTCGGTAGAGGTTTCAACTTCAACACAGGTGCCTGCACCACAGATAGTAGTACCCTTTGGTGACATTCGAGAATGAAAATAGGTAAAAATTCATACGTTTTGTTGTGGTTGGCAACGAATATAATGCCCCTATTGTACATTTCAAATTTTCACTTCACTACACCTCAAGAGTTGTCTCCAACTCGAAGTGCTTGGTTAAAGCAACCTCCAACTCATCCCTGCCGACAGTTTCAAACACTTCCTGCACCGCAGGGTCAATAGCACTCACAGAAAAAATGAAACTAAAGTTAGAGTTTGAGAGATATTTCATAGTATCAAAGATATTACAATGAACAATTTTTTCATCAAATTTCATGGACAAGGTACCGTTATTAACATCAATTTTAGTCTGTGCTATACTCAAAAAGAGTCTACCTAATAGCAAAGGTGAGGGATTGGGGGACTGATCATCATCCATGTCAAGTACATAAAAGTCAACTGGAAATACCAAATCATTAATTTTAACCAACACATCTTCAACCAACCCATCAGGATATGCATTAGTTCGGTTAGTTAATTGAATTATTATTCTAGTTTTTTTAATGGGTTTAGGTTCAGAGAGGCATAGATAGATTTTGACATCACATTGATTGATACTCCTAAATCCAGTATGGCCTTCCTAATCAAAGTGTTGCCTATCCTACAGGAGATAATAAACATATCTGTGTCCCCGCACTTCAGTGGGAGTTTCCTTTGTAGAATCGCTGACACATTCTCCCCCACGATGACTCTTTCATCTCCCATCACCCTCAGTCTCCTTCAATTGACACATAGGTCCTTCAGAAACTTTGCGTATTTCGGCACTTGTTTGATTGCGTCTAACAAGGGGGTATTGATCTTTACCTTGCGGAACACCTCTAGAATCTCCTTTTCCTTATCCTGTTTCTTGGTTTCTCCAGCCTGCTAGGGAAAGGAGGCAGATGAGTTTTGACCTCAACGATCGGGTCAGGGAGTACCACTGAATTTTTGCCATTGCTACCCTCCTTCTCAAACTCGTTCTCGATCTTTTCCTCAACCTTGTCCTTAAGGATCATAGGTTCGGATTCTTGGACTTCCTTGCCACTCCTCAATGTCATTGCGCTTATATTTTTTGGATTCAATTCAGGTTGAGATGGCAACTTTTTTTGAACTTAAGACTCCAAACGGTTGATCATTATGGCCATTTGATTCATTTGACTTTGCATGGATTGCATCTGGCTTATTCGATTTCTTATGTTTTGCAGTTCAGAGTCCATCTTTTGTTGATATTGCGCGGTAGTAGCCATCAATTGTTTCATCATCTCCTCCAAAGATGGATTAGAGCTTGGTAGAGAAGGTGGTGGTCGAGGTTGGTACTGCTGCTAATACCCTTGTTGTCTATTTGGCACAAAATTAGACTGTCTGTTCCCTCCATAGCTGAGGTTGGGATGATCTTTCCAACCAGAATTGTAGGTACTTGAATATGAGTCGTATTGCTTTCTTGGCACGGGCGCCTGGCCAGCCATGTTTACGTGTTCAGCATTTTCTTCCTGAACTAGCGGACACATCTCTGTGGAATGACCCAAGGCAGCGCATACTCCACATACTTTGGTTTGTGATGCATTTCCTACAGCCAATTGCCTAACAAAAGATGTTAACTCCATCAATTGCTACTAGATAGAAGATGTCCCTACTTCATTTACTTTGCGTGTCGGGACATCCTTACTCGTACTAAACTGCTGCGAATTCTCAACCATCCCCTCAATCAGCTTCCAAACTTCTCGAGGAGTTTTGTTCATCAATACTCCTTCACTTGCAATATCGATTATGCTTCTATCCCTGAAGAGTAACCCTTCATAGAAATATTGAATGAGCAGTTGCTCACTTATCTGATGCTGAGGACATTTGATGCACAATTTTTTGAATCGCTCCCAGTAATCATAGAGCAACTCCCCTGGATGCTATTTGATACCGTATATCTTTTTCCTTAGCTCGAGACGCAGGAAAATATTTGTTTAAAAATTTTTTCTTCAACTAGTCCCATGTGATAATGCTACCTGGTGGTAGGTAGTACAATCAGTCTTTTGCAGAGTTCTTCAAGGAGAAGGGGAATACTCTAATTTTTATCTGCTTCTCTGTAATATTCGGGGGCTTCATGCTGTTACAAATGATATCAAACTCTTGCAAGTGTTTGTAAAACTCCTCACCTGGTAAACCATGAAAAGATAGTAAAAGATGAATTAGACCAGATTTTAATTCAAATAGAGTGTTATCATTCAAACTAGAGAAAGTAATGCAAAAAGGCTGCTGATTTAAATCAGGAGCAGCCAACTCCCTTAATGTTCGTGTATTCGCCATAGTGACTTCTTCTTGATCCGAGTCACTCTAAGTGTCACCAAACGAATCTGTTGGTTCAACTTCTGGCTCAAGTCTCTGAGATGCAGCACTATAGTGCTCTTCTCTGAGTTGTCTGGTTTCTTTCTTTATTCTACTCTCATTCTTCTCTACCTCGGGGTCAAAATTAATTCACCTGTACAAGAAAAATGAGACATACACCCGAAAAGCACCAGAAAATTAGAACAAAAATAAACTTAAAAAGAAACAAATAACTGACGCCAGTCCCCGGCAACGGCGCAAAAAATTGACAGGTTGTCATGGCCTGTGCAATAACAATAAAAATAAACCTAATTATCAATTAAAATAACCAAAATCCTATTCTAAATACTGGAGCAGGAACTTTAGGTGTGCAATGGGTTATTTGATTCATCCTATTCCTGAATAGTTTGCTTGATCCGATATACCCGAATGAGATGACTTTTTCACAAATAATTATTAATTTGTAAACAGAACAAGTAGGGTCGTATCCTCAGGGATTGAGAAAAATTCGTTTCTTTTCAAATCCACAGTAACAAGGGATGTTTTTGTATAAAGAATGACAATTAAAACAATTTAACTAAAAATAAAATAACCAATTAAAAATTAAATGACAATTCACTAAAATCAGAGTAATAATAATTAAAGGTCCAGCCAAGAAATAACTTAAGTAATAGTTCACCTAATTGATCATCGATGCACGAACAATTTCAATTATTTATTAATAAATAGGTTATAATTGCCAAACAAGCGATGACAGTCAACCCCTCCTTACTGTATCCGTGATTAAGGTACGCCCGTTAATCACTACTTTAATTGAGAAATAATTTTAAGTACGTCCGTAAGATTTAATTCTTCAATTGCCTTACATATTAGAGGAGCCCTATTCTAACCAAATAACGTACTACCAGGGTTATTTTAAATTAGTCCGCGTATTCCCCTGACACAAATCCAATCATGCCAGTTGTCACTATTTTAAAGCAATTAAACAATTACGGATTTAATACCCTAATTGACAATAAATTATCAAATTAACTAATTATCCGGATCCAAGACAATCGATTAATTGGACAACCATAAGTATTGTAATCAAAGAATATGCGAATACCAATAAATAAAAGAAAAATAATAAAATTAAATCGATCTCACAATTTTTAGGTGAACCAAAACATCCGTTGTTCCTTGACTAGACAAAGAGGATTTAATTCATTCCGGATGCGAAAAATCCACACACAATTGAAGCAATAGTCACGGCCATCAATTGGGTAGATTCAACTCGTTCGAGTTACCAAGGAAAAGCAAGCTACAGGAGGTAAAATCTGGTTTTTGCTTTTCCTACGCATACAGAAGAAGAAAAGCAACTAGAAGCCGAAAAAAAAAGTCAAAGTTCTCCAATTTACTCCTGACATGCGTGAACTGAAACTACCCCAAAAACTACCAAAGAAAAGTCAATAAAAGCAACTCAAAGTCGTGCTAATTGTCTGCCCTATTCTCTATATCAATCTTCCTATCTAATTCTCCTTTTTTCTTGCGGCGGCCTACACCAGCCAAGAAGAAGACTCCAGCCTCCTTTCTTTTCGAACGTCGTCTTCTGCCAAAATTACCAAAAAGAGGTCGCATCTTGATGTTCCAAAAATGCCCCTGGATGCCTGCTACTTGAACTCTTTCTTGATGATTGCCAAATTAGCACTTGTTATAGTATTTTCGTTCTACTCCCTGAAATAAATGCAAATTGTCAAAAGTGAGTAAAATCTAATAATTAATCCACATCGAATCAGGTAATAGGGAAAATTAATAATAAAATAAATGATAAAATTGCAACCTATCAAACTTAAAATTGATGAACTAGAGCTATTTTAGAAAGAGCAAATTACGCGAAATATCACTAAACTATTGTGAAGTGCCGATTTTGATCACTAAACCTTTTTATTAGTCAAAAATGTCACTGAACTAGTAAATATGTACTCATTCTGTGTATTTATGCCGTTAGGAGAGATAGAAAGTCACTTTTTGAGGGGCAATTTCATCTACACAGCTGTTACAAAATTTATACCCTCATTCTTCTTCGTCCTCATCTTCTTCCTCAAAGCCACAGCAAAAATTAGACCCACCTACTGAATTCCTCTACCCAATTTCTAGGTCTTTGATGTCCGATCCTATAATGGTTTCTTCTGGCAGAGCTAAACTGAAAATGCCACCTGCAGCATGCTCCTGAGACTCCTCAAATCCAATCTTAACAAATCAACCAGAATTGGAACCATCCTAGATCGAACAATCTTCACTTTATTCACATTTGCAAGCGAAAGATTCACAATCGAACCAACTGCATTCATCTACACAATTGGATAACTCGAAACCAGCAGAGATTTTATCGCTTGTAAAAGCTTGGGGGTACAGAGTCTTATCCTAGCATCTTCATCATTTTCTCTAGTGATTTTTCGTAAAAGAATCACTGCTTCCTCCTATTCAATCACATACAAACTCTTGAATTTCGTCACAAACATTTCATCTATACCAATGCCAGTACCAATTCCATTCGGTATACCCAGAGCTTCATCGTATACTGTTTTTGAAGAAGACGATGGCGGAGCTGATGATGATGGCGAAGAATAAAAAGCTGGACGAGTGGCAAATGGAAGAAAAGAGGTACTGTTTGCAATCACAGATTCCTCCGAAGACGAGGAGTAATTGTTGCAGGGATTCAAATTAGAAGCCGCATGAGAAAACAAAAATGGAGGGTTATTCTCTATCCCTCTTAGCAGCTTCATTTTAGAAACTGAAGGTTCCTGTTGAGAGGCCGTTTTTGCCTAAACAATGGTGGTTTCTATGGAAGAATAATCAGGTGGGGAGGAGCTTTCGACACGGGATTGTCGACACCAGTTGATAATCGAAGATTTAAGAGCTAAATTGGGAATTACAGCGGAAAAATCAGGGGTTGAGCTATCGGATAAATTTGGGATAACCCCTAAATCCTTGCAAACTTGAATAGCAACCCATTCGAAAGTTTGTCCAAAAGAAACCACCACAGGATCAGACATCAAAGACCTAGAAATTGGGCAGAGGAATTCAGCAGGTGGGTCTAATTTTTGCTGTGACTTTGAGGAAGAAGATGAGGACGAAGAAGAATAAGGGTATAAATTTTTTAACAGCTATGTAGACGAAATATGCCCATAAAAAGTGACTTTCCGTCTCTCCTAATGGCATAAATACACGGAATGACTAAAATAGTACAGATTTACTAGTTCAGTGACATTTTTGACTAATAAAAAAGTTTAGTGATCAGAACCGGCACCTCGCAATAGTTTAGTGACATTTCGCGCAATTTGCTCTTTTAGAAATTAAAAGACTTTAGTAGCCCAATATTAACAATTCTTTTTTTTTTGGAAACCTTATCCCAAAAAAAAAAATAGAGAATCCTGGTCCTAATCAATAAATATACTATGAAGGTTCATTTAAATTGGATCATATGTTTCCTTAACATAAAACTAATCATGCTAGTGGTCACTAATTTAAAACAATTAAACAATTACGGATTTAATTTTCCTAACTGGCATTAGTTTATCAAGTTGATTTAAATATCGGGGTCCCTTAATATTCAAACAACAAAACAATCATGAAAAATTAAATTAGAAAATATACGAATAATAACTAATAAAAAATAGATAAAAAAATAACTCATAGATGTAAATGAATCAAATCATTTGTTATTCGTCAAATAGAAAATAGAAACTAGTTGCGAATCATTGGGAAAAAGTCGCACAACTTCATTGAAGTAATTTGCATAAGTGTTTTTCCCTAAAAATAACCAAGAAAGAAGAGGAAGACCAAGCGGCCCGTCATTCTCTTTTTAAAGCAAAAAGTCATGACCCTCCCCGAAATTATTTCTTGCTTCGGAAGTATTAATCAATCGTGATGCCGGCTTCCTTCCTTTTTTTTGTTTCCTACTTGACATCTACTACTAATACTAATAAAACATATTTCCTAAATTAAAAAAGGAAACTACAAGAGATAATAGTTCATGTTTCTTAATCCAATACTACTACTAATAAAGATAATTAAAGTCTTCCAAATTTTCTACCACAAGTTGTCCATAATTGACTCGAACTAAGAAATCCCTGTGCACAATAAATTCCCGAGTCTTCTAAACTTGAATAAAGATTCTGAACGTGCCACGAACAAATTAATCCTTAACATGCTGGAAAATTGCCCTTTTAATAATGTTTTGCACATTTTTCTACAATTAGTACTATTAACCAAATATAAGTAGAATCTATCAATTAATGTAATATTGGCTAAAATCAAGGAAAAATAATCATAAATTAAATAGCAATTTTGCACCCTATCAATTCCCCCCACACGTAGATCATGCTTATTCTCAAATATGAGAACAACCAATTAAGCAATTGAACTCAAACAACGGCTATCATCCAAATCATCTATTGCCAAAATGCAATTAAAATACATGTCTAGTATTAGTGGCTAAATTCTAAGAAATATCTCTCCGGTTAGTTTCTAAAATCAAAAACTCATCCAATTCCTGACTAACTAATTTAAAGATATAAAATATTCGACTAGCATTCATCGGCAAATGGTTCAACTATTAAACAAAATGTCAACATT